TAAAATAATACCCAATAAGCTATTTAATTATTTGTTTGAAAGTGTTTTCAAATTCATATAATTTAGAAACTACTATTTAGGTATATTTTTTATTATTTTATCAAAAAGGAATGGAATCGATGGATATAACCTAGTGTAATTTAATAAAAATGTAGTTAATTGAAAATTAAGTTGTAGAAAAAGCAAAGAAATGATTTATTATATTGAATAAATATTATGAATTGCTAAACTGAGTAAATTTTAAGTGATAATGAAATATAATCCATTTATGGGCAACTTTAGGCTAATCTAAAATAAATTTAGGAGTGTTTAAAGCATAATAAATCATTAATGAAGGTTCTTCTTCATTGTTATATATAGGACTTTGGGGAAGTAACCTGTGAGTATGGATCTAAAATTGAAGCATTTTCAAAGAAATCTATCTCTGATATAATTGGAATTAACACTAATAGATTGTTCAAAGAAATGGGTTAATAAGTAATATATTAATAATTTTAGATAAAACTTTTGGGGTCTAAAATAATAGGATCATCTTAAGCAATAAAAGAATTGATAGTTCCTATAAATGATGGAAGTAAAACATTAAAATAGTCTTTTAATGATTATGTAAAGTAAATAGAGGCAAGAAAAAGAGATTAAGATGAATAGTATAAAAAAATAGAAGATTTAAAGTCAAAAATATCCTCTTTATAAAAATCTACATATTCAAATGAAAAATCTGCTACTTCTCAACTCAAACAGTTGAAATAATAAGAAAAAATGATGGAAGAAGAATAAAAAATGAAATATTAATAGGTTTTAATATGTAAAAGAGATCTTTGTACTTTTATTGTAGAAGAAAGTTAAATGATTGAATATAAAATAAATCATTCATCAACCAAATGCTATGAAATTATTTATCTTAGTTTAGAATATTTCTTTTCTAAGTTTAATCAAGTAGCATTACTAAAATAATTACCAGAGAGTTATCCTACTATTTAAAATAGAACTTAATAAAGAAGTGCAACAGAAAGTAGATCACATAATAATACATAATTTGCACCTTCTAAATAAAGATCTATATCACCTGTAAATCAAATTTAAAAGTAAAAATTTTAAATGTATATATAGAAATAATAATGAAATTTATGCACAAAAAAAACCTTATATGAATTAAAATTAAATATTAAAATCTAATCGTGATGAAGAATAAAATGATATTAAATATAAGAGCAAAACACTTTCAAAAATATAATTTAATAATTAATTAATAGAGTCTGAAGATTGTTATAGTAATGTTAATGAAAAAAGTAGTTAATAAATCAAAATTTTAAACACTAATAATAAAGAGAATTAAAATATAAATTTAAGTAATCTTTTAAATAGAAAATAAAGTGGAGCTAATTTAAAAAGATCAGAAAATAGCAATGCTTCAATATTTAATTGTAAAGGTCATGGTTTTTTTAGTAATTAAGATTCTTTAAATGAAGCATACAAAAATGAATGATTGATATTCATTTAAAAATACAAATATACAATATATAAAATTTAATTCTCAGAAATTTCGATATATCAAAAAATATAAAAATTATCATTAAGTTTAGAAATTATTATTTATAGTTTTATTTGTATTTTGTAACAAGAACAATAAAATATTAATATAATAATTGAATCAAATGCTTTATGTTAATATCATAATTATTAAAGGTAAAGATATAATTAATATTTAATACAATTTAAGTTACTTGAAACATTTAATCATTAAGGTTATGATAGAGCATTTTATAACTCCTTATCTTCAACTGGCTTTGAAATAAATAAATCCATTCCACTTTCTAATCCTATTTTTTTACTTTCATAATCTGTAAATCCACTACATCCTATAATTGTAGATCTTTTAACTTATTTTTCAATTTCCATTTATCTAACTAATTTAGAAGTCTAATATCCATTTAAATAAGGCATATTTATATCAATAATAATAAAATGAATCCAGTTACAACAATAATCTTTATTATTTTACCAATTTTATAGAATTTCAATGCATTCTTAACCACTTTTAGATTTTAAATAAATAGATTTCATTCTATCTAATTTCCAACCTAGAATTTCTAGATTAATAGGTTCATCATCAACAATAATAATTTATGGGCATTTACATATTTATAATTATTGTTCTATCAATTAATCATCTAATTTTTTTAAATTAGGTATATTGATATTAAAACTTTCTTTTCTAATAAGAGCTTTAGGAGTAGGAACAACATAATTTTCATTAACATCTTATATTTTGAATATAAATCTAGTTCCTTTATCTTATCCTTTAGAATCAACTTGTAATCCTTCATCATTTCCACTTAATTTTTATGCTAGAACATTACTTATCATTAATCCTAAACCTACTCCTGAAGTATTCATATTTTTAGTATCTTCTAATTTTCCAAATGGTTAAAATAATTTATTTTTATCTTCAGGCTTCAATCCAACTCCTGTATCTTCAACAGAAATTTCTATAAGCTTTGGTTATAATAATTTAGCTGATACAGTAATTCCACCTACCTTTGTAAATTTTGTAGCATTACTAATAAGGTTAAATATTATTTGCTAAATTCTCTATGAATCAGATTTTATTATTTAAGGTATCTTATTGTCAAATTAAAAATCTAGTTTTAAATTCCTTAAACTTACAGGATATGTCATTATTGATATTACATCATTCAATAATTATCTTATTGAAAACTCTTAATAAGTTAATTTAAATTTTCCTGCTTTCAATTATGCTAAATCTAATAAATCATTTGCTAATGCTTATATTGAAACCGCAGAACTCTACAATGGTTATAAAAATCTAATATAATTTATCATTTATTACTTTTAAATTAAATTCTTATCTTACGAAAATTAAATCTTCAATTATTAATTTATTTCAATTATTGCTCCTAATGGATTACGTAATTCATGTGAAACATATGATAACATTCTAGATTTATTTTTATTTTATTATTATAAAACTTTGAATTGATTAAATAAAGATACATCTCTTATCATTAATAAAACACTTCTCTTATTTTCATATATATATGGTTTAATTGTTATCTGAATCAATAAACCAGTATTGCATTCATCTTATGATTTATCTTCTTATAATTCATTATTTTAATCTTCTGTAGATTCTTCTATCATACATAACATTTTTTTGACTTCAGGAGAAAATCTTATTTTATCTTATCCTTTATATGTTTTCTAAGAATGAAAAGATTGTTATCTTTAATATGGAGAAGGTAATCCATTTTTATCTTAAGCTTTCTCCTATAATGCTTTATCTAATTCTTATTTTAGGGTTTCAGCCTTACTCAGTTCAGCTTAATAATAATAATCTGTTTGATTATCATCATAATTATTATTAAAAATACTTTCTTTAGAATTCTCATCATTTATTTACTAATCAAATTATTAATAAAAAGGTTAATAATATTATTCATTTTAGTTATATTTTAACTTTTTATCTAACATTGAAAAAAATGAATCAAATTATGCTTATTCTTCAAATTGAAATTTAGAACTATAATTTTTTAATTCATACAATCTAGATAATATTTAATCTTATCTATTTTATGTATGTTTTCTTCCTAATAATGTATAAACTTAATTATTATGATAATCAATTTTATTTTGATCATTAATTATCATTATTCCTTCAGGAAATTAATTGAATAAAATTTCATAAAATGTTTTTTATTATTCTATTTATTCAAGAACTGATGGATCTCTTGAATAAATAGATGGATTTTTAATAACTCCTTAATTTAATGACATAAATTTAATTTAATTTGAATCTTCATCAAATATTTATTACTAAGGACTTTCTAATTTTTCAGTCAAACTTCTACTACTAGGTTTCTTTTATGGTAATTTTGATATCTATGTTTTTGTAGACATCATAAATTAATAAAATAATAATAAAGCATAAAGAGCTTCACCAAAAATAATTCCTATTTAAGATGAATCTATTAATAAATAAATTGTAGTTAAATTTGCTGATGCAATTACAACTAATAAATATCCAACTCTAGTTATTTAATTTGAAATAGTAGTATCTACTTCCAATTAAATTGTCAAACCCAACCAAAAATATTAAAATCTGCTTAATAATCCATCATTTTTTAATCCAAAATCAACACTCCCTAAACAAAAAAGGTTTAGAATTTACCATAATGACTTACATACCAATTATTAATGCTCAACGCATGTATTAATAAATCTATTAAATGGTATAAACATTATTGTCAAAACCATACTAAAGATTACTTAAAAGTATTCTGCATTATGATTAACTAATTTTATTGCAAGCACCATTATAAAATAAGTTAGTTGAATTACTACTCTTAAATTAACACTAATCATTATATTATTATAATAATATATAATAACTATTTAAACTATTAAATTTATGTATTTTCTTTTTTGCAAACTTAAACTTTGATATTTAAAGTTTAATAATACTGTAATATAATATCAATAATTTTCTAAGTAATTACCATTTTCTAATTGAATCTTTATTCTGGATAATTATTCCTTTCTACTTTCAGTTAATCTATTAGTTTTGGCTAAATTTTTAAGTTCATCTTCAAATTTATTAACTTAATTTTCTGTTGCTTTAAATCTACCTTCCAAATGTTATTTTAATCTTTTTTAAATAGATTAAAATTGAGAATATGATAAACTATCATTTTTATATTCTTTAATTTTATCTTGAATACTATAATCTCTGTTATGTATACAATAATATAATTATCTATTGAATTTTTCACTTAATTTATTCTTTTCTTCATAAGATTCATTAATTTAACTTACTAATTAAGGTAATACTTTACTATCTCGTACTTTTTCATATTTCTTATATAATTCAATTTCTTTATTTTTATCTATTTATTTTCTATCTTCACTATCAATAATTAATAATTATCTTTTGACATTTTCTGTTTTACCAAATAAAGTGCTGCCACTTGTATTTTATTTAATTGTATGTCTTCTTGCAGATTTACTTGGTGTATTTGAATGATAAGTTATGTTTTTATGTTAGTTAAATACATAATCAGAAAGATCTAATTCCTTTTTAATTTTTTCTAATTTTTCAATATGATTTTCAACTCTATTTTTTTAATTTTTAATAGTTTTTAGCATTTATAATTTATCCTGAGAATGAAAATATTCTTCAACATTAGGTAAATGTATAGAATAATTATAATCTACAGAAATTCTTTTGAGTTTAAAATTACGAGAAGACTTAGCTTAAAGTACTCTAAACTTATACATATATTTTACTGTTAATTTTATTCATTAAGCAATTGTTTCAAAATAGTTTATGCTTTTTTTGATTTAATAATTGGACTCAAATCACTTTTACATTATTCCCTTATGCTAGTAGTGTTCAAATGTAATTTTTTAATATTGAACTTTTCTAATTTAACATTACCCTTATAAATGATTTTTTTTTATTCGATGAATTAAACTTTATTATCTTTATTTTCTTTAATAAATTTCATTCTAAAAATAATGTAATTATGTTAAGCTATATATATTGATGATATTTAATATAAAATTGATTTTAAAGAAATAAAGTAGGAATATAATATAAAAAAGGAATGATGTCCAGAATAATTGAAATGGAATATAATTATTATGTGATTCATTTATTAATTAAATTTAAAATGGGTAATAATTGTGTATCAGAGAGTGATTCATTAATTAATGAAAACACTTAAGGTAATTTCAATCAAATAGATTCAAGACCTGGAATTTATGCTATTGAGCATTCAACTAATACTTGTTTAGAAAGTATTTCAATAATGTCTTCTCCAGACTCTGCTTATCCAATTACTTATAAAGACAATATGGATGTGATTGCTTTTAAAGGTCACAAATTCGCCATTTTTGAAAAACATAGCGTATATTATGGTGAAATCAATCAGAAATTTGAAAAAAATGGGAAAGGAAAGTTGTACTTAAAATCTTTAGATAAAAATGGAAACTAAAAATTAGTAATTAAGAAAGGAATATTTAAAAATGATAAATATTTAGAATCAGAATAAACTTCAACAAAAAATGAATTATTAGATGAAACAATAGATTCAAAAATCACAGAAGCATAAGATTCTTATAATTCTACAATATAGATTGAACATTATAAATATAACAAGTTAATAAATGAGAAAGATTTAAATTCTATTAATGACAAAAATTAATTAAGACCAAATATTGTTAATGGATATATTCAATATTTACAATAATTAGATGAATAATTGTATTGGGATACTCCTCCTCATAAAAGAGAAAAATTTTAGAGAACAATAATTTTCTAAAGTAGTTCTCCTCTAGATAATTATGATGAATTTAAATAACTTATTAAATAATTTAGATTTGTTAAGTTTTGGTTAATTTATAAAAAGATAGGATTTGTTATTGAACATAATCCAAATCGTTGGTATTTTGTAGAAGTTTAACTTACAGAAGATGAATTTAATATCATAATTTATGATTCTATTAAATGTAGTAAGGTATTTTATGATTAAATAAAACACTAATTATCTCAACTTTTTCAAAAATTGTTAAATCATAGACTTGAAGCAAAATTAATAATAAAAGATAATATTCCTTAATCTTACAATACATATGATAGTGCTGTCTATACTTGTATTTTTGCTAGAATGCTTAGATGCAATTGTAGAAATAAAGTGTTAAATATGAGTCCTTCTTAAATGAGATCGGATTTATAAAAACTATTCCTTAATTGATTATTATTATTATTTATTAATTAATTATTTATTTTAAGTCATACATTAATGGGAGCATCTGATTCTTAAATAAAAGATCAACTAATTAATAAACCAGAATTCTAGAAATATCTTAAATAAATATGCTTTAATGTTCCATAAAATATAATAAATAAAAATCATTATGACAATATACTTGGAAATCTTAAATAATTTAATGTCATAAGAATTGGATCAACTCCTTTGGGAGATCGACTCTTTAATGTTTTAAATGCTAAAAATAATGGTAAAATTACATCAGAGATTCTATATTAATTCTTAACTTAATTAAATGTTAATAAAGAATCTAGATGTGAATGTAATAAATATTAATTATTCATTAGATACATTTTAAGCTTATAGTTTTGAAGGTTAAAGTATCTAAAGTACAGTATCAGAAAAAAACTTTATTGAAATAGTAGTTGATTCATGGGAAAGAGCATTTACCGGATTAGTTGAATTACTCCCTGAAAATTAAAAATAAGATGGAGATTTAATAGAAAATTGGAGTAAATCTGAAAATTAAAAGCTATTGATCAGGAAAGCAGCATAAATGAGTTTTAAAAATTTTAGCAAAAGTTAAAATAACAAAGTTGACTATTTAACATTTAAAAATTGGATATATTCTGAAAAAGAAGATAAGATAGTAGCTAAATATGATGGAAAGGTTGTAGTTGTTCCATTAACATTATATAAATTTACAAAATGATTTTATTATATATATCATTATCAATGTTCATGAATTCCTCCATGTACACTCTTTAGATGATCATAGATATCTTAACCTTATTCAGCTTAATGTAAACAGGTCCAACAAAAATGATTTTTACATAAAGTACAATGTAAATGAAGACATCCTTCATTTTTTTGAACACCTGTTTAACATTTAGGACATCTCTTAATGTTCATTTTTAGTAATTCTTCATCACTTAAATCCTTTCCTGATATATATAATTATTTAGCTTCCTCACAACTTAATTTAGGATGTGCAGATCGTTCACAATTACAACAAAATGATTATAAACAGCTTTGACAATAATAAAATTATTCTTTATCCTAAGGAATCTTCTCAAAAAACTCTTCACAATCTGGTGTTCTACATCCTATGTATTCATCGGCATGTTGGTCTTTATATTTCTTAAAACTTTAATCTAATAGTTTTTAAAATTCTATTTCACATAACAATTATTAAAGATCTTGAAGACTCAATGTTTCACCACAATTTTATTCAGGACATTTGTATGGAGGACTATTTTACATTTTTATTGTCTCATAAAGACACATTTTGCAGAAAAAATGATTACAAAAAGCCAACATATATTTTTAATCCATTTCACTATAACATATTTAACAATTATTTTATATTACATTTAATTTTAAACTAGAAAGTTTTGTTAATAATTCATCTTTACATTTTTTTGCTTATTCATTATTTCCAAAAATTATTACTTTTTTTTAATGAAGTATAAAATCTATATTAACTTAATATTTGTCTTATAATATTTTTATAATATTATCTTCAACTCTTAAAAATGGTTTAAATGAATAGTTTTTAACATTTACAATAAGACTATTTGATACTCTCTATTTAATTAGTGAAATAATAGCTTATTAAATCTTTGTTAATGAATCTTAATTCAAATATACTCTTATTTTCCCATAATCTAATAATTTAATATTATATTTAAATCCATTTTATTTTTCTAGTTCTAATAAATCTTAGAAAAATTAATCATCCATTAATAATTATTTAAATACTTACTTTTTTAGAGGTACTTAAATATCATATCCAGTAAGAATTCCATGTAACATTAGAGATGCTTATCTTACAAAATTAGGATTCATACCTAAAATGATAATGTTTTCTCCTGTTGAAAATATTTTTAATTAATCTTCATTGTATTTATTAGATAACTCTTTTTAAATAATATCTATTTCTTCTTTATTTTAATCTAATATTTTTTTACTGACTAATCTGATTATTTTATATTAAATTTTCATAGTAACTGATGAGAGACCAATTATATCATTCATAAAATTAATATTTTTTCTCATTTCTTCTAATTTTAATGGATTAGCATTAGTCATAACTCTTACATAAATTCTATAATTAAATTTATCAGGTTTAAAATCTAAATGTTAAGGTAATACTTCAGTATATTTTTCAAATAATTTATTGACTTCTTCTTTCCAATCTTTTATTTCAGATGACTAATTTGCAACTAAATTGACATGATATGGAATAGGACAATTCTTTTATTAAGCTAAATCTTTCAAATAATTTAATAACTCTTATTCATTTGCATTATGAGGAACATTACTTATTTTTATTCTATATTTTTAATCATCATCTTTTTAATTAATTAATTTTAAATCCTACAAAACTCCTTTAAATTTAACAATTGATAAAGTGGCTTCTATAAAACCTTTTGCATCATCATCCTTCTAAAATACAATAAATCCATATCCTTTATTGTAACTACCATAAAATATTAATTCAATTGATGATCTAATAATTCTATTTCTAATTTCTCTAGGTTTTATTGTAAATATTTATTATCTATCTTAATACTATGGCTATTCATATTCTTCAAATCTTTATTTAGCTTTTTAATTTAAAATTAAAGTTATTTATGAAGCAGATTCCTAACTATTTGTAAATATCTATCCACTATAACCAAATTAATTAGCATTTATTTAAAACACATTCTAATATTACATATTATATTCCTAAAGAATCTATTTTATTTCTTCAATATTAAAAGGTGATGCTGCAAACTGTACTATAACCAATTCAGATGCAGTGCAAGATAAAGTTTTCTGTACTTCACCTCCTTATTTAAAATAAACAAGCATACTTTATCCATATAATCTAAAATATTAATAATCTTTCATTTTTTCATAGTAATCCTTCTAATAAAATTCAAGATCAATTGGCTTTAAAGACCATATTTCAAAAATTCCATTATCTTAGTCTACATTACAATAATGTTATAAGCTTTTCTAATTCTCTTCATATGAGTAATAACTTAATGTATGTAATAGATGATTTAATAAAGACTATGAAACATTTCTTAATTATTAATAATGATATTTATTTGGAACAAACCTCTCTATTGCTTCAATTTAATCAGAACTTAATATTTTTGATAACTACTCAATCTTCACTTCTTATGCAACTCTACAAAAATCAAAATAATTAGAGGAATACAGATCAGAACATATTATATATTTAGGAAAGTGGTTTAATAAACTTAAAGTACATGTACCATATATTCTTACATTTCTTTTCGATTTTAAAAATGTATATCCAATTAATGGATTACCATTATAAACACATAAATCAGGATAAAATGCTGTTAAAAAGCATGTCATTACATTTTCTTCTCTTGTTGATTCAGGTATCTTAACAATTTATTTTATTAGTTCTTAATTATCTTACAATAATCCTTAAAAATAACTAAAAGCTCTTTCCATTTCATCAAAAACCTTTTCACAATTTTTTAAGGTTTTATAATGATACCCTTTATCACGACAAATGTCTTTAACATATGTTTATTTATCATGAGAATTCATAAGTTCTATGAATTCCCAAAAAATACGAGAATATGTAAAAAAATCACCCATTTCATGTAAAACCTCAATTTTATTTCTTATATCTGTATTACGCAAGTATAAATTCTGATTATTTAGCATAACACAAATAATGGCAAGTGTTTCTCTAAATACATTTCTATAATAAGCTTCAATTAAAATTCTACTCATTCTTGGTTCAGTCTAAATTTATGACATAAATTTTCCAAGTAATGTAATATTACCATTTTAATCTAATGCTTTTATATCTATTAAATATTCTAAACTATGTTTCATAGCCTAGAAATTAGGATATTGTATAAATTCAAATTGAAATGGATCTTTATCAAATGATTTAATCCTTAAAACAACTAAATCTAGACAACTTCTTTATATTTCAGGTGTTTTGTGAACTTGCATTTCATTTTAAAATTCTAATTCTGAATATAATCTATAACATTTTCCTGGTCTAGTTCTACCAGCTCTTCCAGCTCTTTAATTTGCTTAAGCTTAAGATATCCAATCAATCTTAGTTATTTACATACCTCTATTCTAATCATAATAAGAGAATCGATCCACTCCAATATCTATTACAACACTTACATCATTAATTGTTAGAGATGTTTCAGCAACTCTTGTAGTAAATATTATTTTGATCTATTTCGATTCTTAAAATACATTAAATTGTTCATCTGTTGTCATTTAACCATGTAATCCTAAATATAATATATCTTTTGAATTATATTCACTCGAAAATAATTAAAGTAATCTATTTATTTCATCTACTCCTGCTAAAAATACTAAAACGTGTTTTTACTGATACATTTTATAATTAATTTTATAGATCACTTTTTTATATATCAATCTTTGAATTTATTCTAAATAATTATCGCTATATGAATTTTGATATTTAATTTTTACATCAAATAATTTACCTTCGACTTTGAATGTTTTACATTTGAAATAATTGCTAAATAATTATTCATCCATAGTAGCACTCATAATTACCAATTTAAGATCCTTTCGTTTATTCAATATATCTTTTAATAATCCAAGTAGAATATCAGTATTCATATTTCTTTCATGTGCTTCATCTATAATAACTATATCATAATCTTTTAAAAGAGGATCTTTCTATAGGATATTTAAAATGACTCTATCTTGAGTAAATACAATTTTATTTTCATCTTCTAATTAATCAAATTCATTCAAATATGCAATAAAGCCACCTAATTTGGAATGCATTTCTTCAGCTACTCTCTTTGCTAAACTTCTTGCAGCTATCATTTTTGGCTCTACACATATAATTTTACCTCTTATTTCTATTTCTTCATATATATATTATACCAATTATGTGGATTTACCTGATCCAGTTGTTCCTACTAATAAGAATACTTATTCTTATTGTATATTTTCTATAATATCTCGCTTCTTAAAATAAATAGGCAATTTCTAAATAACTCTTTTCTTCTCTTATATAACTCTGAAATAAAGATTTTTTAATGATATTTTATTCTCTTAAATTGTCTTTAATTCTTAGAAGTTCTTTACTTTATCTTTCACTTTATTTAATACTCTAAGATATTCCTAATAAGTTTCAGATAATTATGCTATTTTTTCTTCCACTGGTTTTACTTGTTCTATAATCTCCTCTGACATTTAAGGTATCAATAAAAAATCCTTATCATTTTCATCAACTAATTATTTCAATATCTGATTTTAATTAAATTTTAAATCTTTAATTTCTTTTTCTAATTCAGGAATTATTTCTAAGTTTTCTATTAATTAAATTTTATTTTTTATCAACTTAAGTAAATATTAAGATTGTGGATTATTTTATGATGCAACCTCCTTTTTAATAATTTCTAATCTTGATGTACTTTCAGTAATTAATTCCATATAAGTTTAAAATAACAATATATCAAAATTTTATATATTACTTTCAATTATCTTTTAATGATTCAAAAAGAAAAGTCTGCTCTAGTTTTATATAATTAATATTTTGCATTAACCAAATCTCTTAAATATATTAAAAGTTTTCGGTAATATTCCTAAAATACACCAATAATGTGATTTGTAAATAGAAAGAGGATTTTATAAATCACGATTGTAACTATTTGGACAATCTTATACAATTTGCTATATACAATCTCTTAATTCTTAAAATTCTATTTCATCAACATAAAACATTGATTCAATCATTGATTAGGTTATTTCTTATAACTATTAATAAGGATATATATGAGAAAGGGCATCTTTAATCTCACTCCATTTTCTTCTCTTTATTTTTTAACTTAAACTTAATTAATTATCATTAATCTTATATTCTAAAACTATTTAAAACTCTTAATTAATATAGAATCTAATATCTATTAAATCTTTATTATAAGATTCTATCAAATTCTTTTTCAAATACTTTTTTAAAATCTAAATGATGATTTATTCATCTAAAACTTTAAAAGTATCAAATTTCTCTTTTAACAACTCTGAACATTCATCTTTTTTAAATTCATCATCTAAATTTACAAAATCATTAGCTAGATTATGCTCTCTACACTCTTTAGATTTATATTCAATATTTTTTAATCCCAATTCACGTAACTATTTCCTCAATAAATGTTCTTTCATTTTTTCTGGACCTATTGTAAATAAATCCTATCCTAATCGAACCTCAAATTATGGAAGATTATTTTAAAATATTAAATGCACATCACCTCCTTTCTTTAACATATCAATCAAATAATGTTATCCTTTAGCTAATTCTTAAAATATAGCTTTATCACTTTCAAAAAGTCTAATCCTATTTATTAGTTTGTGTTTCTCTTTCAAACTTAAAATCATTCTAATTGCTTTTTCATATACCATTTCCACATCTCTTAATTAATATTGATTATAATTTTCTTTAGAATTCATTATATTATTTATAATTAGATGAATTTTCTATATTTTATTTTTTCATCAAATTCATAAAATTATAAAATAATTGAAATAGTGTAATTTATTTTTTAATTTTTCGATTTATATTTATATCTTCATACCATTTAATACCTATTAATATTAAGATATTTATTCGTAATTAAAGGTTAATTAATTTTTTTTTTAAATATTAATGCTTAAATTTTAGAAGAAAGCTTAACATTAAGTTAAAACTTGCCTTATGAATGTAATAAATTCATTAGATTTCTTTGGATAACCTCCTTTTTTTAGAATTTTAAAAAAATAAAAGTTTAATACACTTTTAGGCCATTTTCTGACTGTCATTTTAATTATAGTTTGTGCTCTTTATTTGTATTTTCAATTTTAAGATTTACTCGATCAAAGAAGCCCTAATATCATAATATCTGAAACTTAGGGCTCAAATACACCAGTATCTAATACTGCATTAAAGATAGGCTTTTTTGTTAAACTCCAAGAATTTTACTTTTGCAATTAGTGTAGTAGGGTCAACATTATCATCTTTAACAACTTATAAGAAACATNTTAAATCTTTATTATAAGATTCTATCAAATTCTTTTTCAAATACTTTTTTAAAATCTAAATGATGATTTATTCATCTAAAACTTTAAAAGTATCAAATTTCTCTTTTAACAACTCTGAACATTCATCTTTTTTAAATTCATCATCTAAATTTACAAAATCATTAGCTAGATTATGCTCTCTACACTCTTTAGATTTATATTCAATATTTTTTAATCCCAATTCACGTAACTATTTCCTCAATAAATGTTCTTTCATTTTTTCTGGACCTATTGTAAATAAATCCTATCCTAATCGAACCTCAAATTATGGAAGATTATTTTAAAATATTAAATGCACATCACCTCCTTTCTTTAACATATCAATCAAATAATGTTATCCTTTAGCTAATTCTTAAAATATAGCTTTATCACTTTCAAAAAGTCTAATCCTATTTATTAGTTTGTGTTTCTCTTTCAAACTTAAAATCATTCTAATTGCTTTTTCATATACCATTTCCACATCTCTTAATTAATATTGATTATAATTTTCTTTAGAATTCATTATATTATTTATAATTAGATGAATTTTCTATATTTTATTTTTTCATCAAATTCATAAAATTATAAAATAATTGAAATAGTGTAATTTATTTTTTAATTTTTCGATTTATATTTATATCTTCATACCATTTAATACCTATTAATATTAAGATATTTATTCGTAATTAAAGGTTAATTAATTTTTTTTTTAAATATTAATGCTTAAATTTTAGAAGAAAGCTTAACATTAAGTTAAAACTTGCCTTATGAATGTAATAAATTCATTAGATTTCTTTGGATAACCTCCTTTTTTTAGAATTTTAAAAAAATAAAAGTTTAATACACTTTTAGGCCATTTTCTGACTGTCATTTTAATTATAGTTTGTGCTCTTTATTTGTATTTTCAATTTTAAGATTTACTCGATCAAAGAAGCCCTAATATCATAATATCTGAAACTTAGGGCTCAAATACACCAGTATCTAATACTGCATTAAAGATAGGCTTTTTTGTTAAACTCCAAGAATTTTACTTTTGCAATTAGTGTAGTAGGGTCAACATTATCATCTTTAACAACTTATAAGAAACATTTTGATGTAGCTATGACTGCTTGCAATAGGACTCGCTTTTTTAATGAAACCAAATAAGCCACTGATATTTCATTAATGTATAAAGAGTGATAATCAATTATTTTATAGATGCAGAGACATACCATTAGAAAGTTGTGATTTAGATACACACTTTCCAGAATAGTATTAGTAGTAATATTTTGGAAAATTCGTTTTAAAAAATATGTTTTGTATCAAGAAAACAGTTAGAGAATAAAATCCACCTGTATTAAGTTATTATTATATTAGCAACTTTAAGGTTTTACAAATGCAGATACTTATTAATATATCACTATAAATCTAAAACCATGTAAAAACAGTTCAACTTATGATGGTTGTAGCCCTGCTGAAGAAATCTAAGCAGGACTAAAAAGTGGATTTTTTGTATTATATTTAGGAGATACATTATTGAAATTGGATAATCCAGGTAGACCATATGAAGAAATTATTACAGTTTAATTTGCTTCATTTTCATCTAGTCTGTCTAAACAAATATTTTCAACTTTTAAAATGATTGAGACTAAAACTGATGTTGGTTTAATTTAATAAGATTATATTACAGAATTCGGATTAATGTAATCTTAAATAAAAGATTCTTCAGGACCTTTTAATGAGCATTCTTATGTTGAAAATACTCTATATATGGATTAGCGAATTAATAATTATAAGAGATCTTATATTAAAATATAGAATATTCTTGGAAATGTTGGAGGTCTTTGGTAATTGGTAGCTTTAATAATAACAATGATAGTAAGTCCAATAATAGCTACATTGATGAATCTTTAATTAGCTAATAGAATATTTAATTTTGAAAATGAAGGTGAAAATATTAATGAATAAAATTCAATGTCAAAATCTAATTAAAATATAAATAGGAATCTTGAGATGAATGATCTTATTGTTGAATTAAATAAGTAAGGGAAAACACCTTAATAATCAAAGAGAGATTTAGAGAAGGTTTAAAATAGAGGACAATTAAAATAATACTTAAAATAAAGAAAGAGATAGTTAAAAGTAGGTTTATGGGATTTGATATGTATGAGTATAGGATTCAAAAAGAAACATAAATAATAGATAGAGTATGCAATTGAAAAAATTCTATGTAAGTTAGATGTTGTTAATATATTGACTAAGATATAAGAAATAGATAAATTGAAATATGTAATATTGAATAAAGAGTAATTAGAATTATTTAATTATATTCCAAAACCATTGATTCCAATTGATATGTTCTCATAAGATTTTGAAAAGAAGTTGAATGTTTTAGAAGATAAAGCAGAATTCTAATTTATTTTATAAGAAGAGAAATCTGATTTAATTAAAATAGAATCAGCATTCAATGCATATATGAAATTATCAGAAAAGAAAAGATTAACTGATACTGATAAGAATATCCTAGAATTAGTTGGTGATGATATGGTTGCTATATTTGATAAAATTAATAAAAATTAAGATGAATTTTTATTATAAAGTAACCGATATATGCATTCAAATTTAAATTTACTTGAATAGAATTAAATTGAAATCATATCACCAATAAGTAGTAAAAGTGAAAATGATTAATTTAATCAAAATAGCCATAATTAATTTAATTAGAGTAATAATAATATTGAAAATGAGAATTGTGTATGTATTGAAGATAAAGAAGACCAAGTAGCATAGATTCCACCAAAAATACCGTAAAAATAATGAAAAAATATTAATTATTTAAATATGTAATTAATAGTTATTAAAAGAATATAATATTAATTATATATTAAAGTTTATTTAATAAAAGTCTTAACTATAGCATATATACATGAATATTTATGGTATTTAATAGTAAAAACTAATTTAAAATGAGATGGTAAATGATAGTAAAGAGAATAAAAATGATAAAGATCATTAATTAAATGATATTAATAAATCATTCTATGCTTTAATTTTACTGTTAAGGATTTGATTCAGGTACTTAATCTAGTGATTAATTAGATTTGAAACAATCAAAATATTTTTCATAACAACCTTTTTAACGATTATAATGTTCTGGATTAACTCTATCGATACGAGGGAAACAACATTCAGCTAAAGTGTTTCTGTATTTGTAGATTAATAGGATTGCAGCTATTAATATTGCTATTGCTATAATTAATCCCACTCTACTACTTCTTCCAAATGATCTATCAGAATTTGTAGGTTCTTAATAAATTTATTATAATACCTTCATATAATTAATCTTCAAAAAATAATATTTTAGGTTTCATATGTGGAAGATAATCTTTGGAACGATTTAAATCTGTTTCATTATTTTCAGTTGGATAGAATTAATAAAATCCATATAGTTTTAATTTGAATCCAATTTCAATAGAATATCTACCAAAAAGTGGTTTAGTATCATTAATTTGAATAGGCACTTAAATGTTTGTATTGCCTTACATTTGTTCAAGTGATAAATTATAATTTATGTCAATTGTTTTAGATTTGGATAAATATGTCCAATTTATAAAACTTACATAAGGATGTATAGAAAATAAGAATGAACTACATAAAGTATTTGTATCCGCTCCAATACAATCCTTTTATGCATATTTGAAATACTCCATCTCTGCTTCTTCTGATGCTGTTGCATATTAAATATATTATTGAGGATCATTAGGATCTTCTGGTATTGGTGCTGAATATTTATATTATTAAGGTAATAATGCACTAATTCCTTTTGTATAATTACTCCATATTACAGTATAATTCTCTTCAGGATGAAATACAGTACGATTCAATAGATTTTAAAAATAGTTATAACAAACAGTTCTAACATTCTATTTAAATTGAATAAATTTACCTCAGTAAACTCATGACTTCTAAATTGATTACAAGGAGGATTACCATCTATTTTGTTATTATAATAATTTTCATCAACCAATAGTTTACAATTTTAAGATGGTTATTCTATATCACATATAATAGGATTCCAAAACTTACAATACTCTCCACTGAAATCAGGAGGACATAAACAACCATAATGTAATCTATAACGAATAGTACAATTAGCTGAATTATTAGCCTTTATTTCTTAATATTAAACATATGTGACTCTTTATTTAAAACAATAATGCTAAGTTACATTAATAAGAATAGGATGTGCAAGATAACATTTTAATGGAACTAATGGTCCTTATCTTTAATATTCATTAATTGTGATATTTGAACCTGGAGTAGCAGGAATCTATGATGCACTTTCTTCCATCATTCTACTTAATCTAGAATGTTTTAAATTCATATCCATAACAGGAACATCAAACTATTCCTCATTATCCTAATCTAAACTTCTTAATCCTAATGTTTATCTCATCATTTCCATTGGTGTTCTAGTAACTAAATCTTATGCTTTCTATCTCCACTCTTCATATAAAGAGTTAGTCTCCTTCAATAAAGTTTTTGCTATTATCCCATGTATTACAAACAATAAAAACATAATTTAATATTAATATATTATTAAGTTGTTATGTTACATTTTAGAGATCATATTGCTTTACATTAACATACTCTTATCATAAAATATATATTGAAATCATAAAAACTCATTTATCAATTAAAGATATCGCTTCAATGCTTTTATTATTTAGATGTTCTATAATTTATCATTTAATAGATAGCTATCCTTCAATCTCCCAATTTCTTTATACTTCTTCAATATTTTGATAGCTTCTGTAACTATATTTATTTAGTTAATTAGAATTTCCTTTCTTTCCTTATTGATATAAATCTAAAAATTAGAATTAAATTTATACAGCAAATCTTTTTGGAATTTCAATTTGTTATTCTAATTCTTTAAGATCCTAAATCAAATCTTAAGAGTAAGAATTTAGTAGATGATTCAACATTGAATCGTAAAATTACATCACAAATATTTCATAATCAATTGAAACAGGAATTATACTTAACAATTCTTTTTCATTACCGTATTACATTTATAAGAGCAATCTCAAAAATATTATTACATCCATATTCAAGTGATTTTTTTTAATTCTTATTTCTTTTGATAAAGATGATACAGGAATCTCATATCCATTATATGTAATTTTGTCTACAATTGATTCATCAACAGAGATTAATTTTTTTATGATTATAGTATTCAATATTTATTCTCTGTTTCTCTCTTAAAGAATATCATTATTTAACCATAACTTTAATTAGTAAATAAATTACTCTAAAATTAAACGAACTATATAAATTTTGTTCTAATGCAAATCCATACCAACATAATAAAAATCTATTAGTTCTTCTTCCATATGAAATAGTCACTTATTCATATTTCTTAATTGGTACTGTAGTTACTATACAAAAATAAGCATCTTCATCATATTCATCTAACCAATCCCATTTTGATTCTTCACTTTTCTCACTTTCATCATCATCATCATCATATTCTTTTGATTCTTTTCCATCCTTCCATAATCTCCCATTCATCATTTACTATTTTACTTTTATAGCTTCAATCTAATATTAAGGTAACCCTCGTATAATCACTTTATTTTTATTCTCTAACTTATTATTTTTTATTAATCTTACTTGGATCTAATGTTACTGTAACTATGCGTTAATTTTATAAACTTTGTTATTCCTATTCTCTTTATATTCTTTTTTATTCTTCTCTTAATTTCAATTCTGCAAATTCTTTTATTTTTAATATCTCAAATTACTTTTACTTTTCCAATTTAATTTCCTCATCAGAATCATTATCTTCACTATCAGAAGATGTAACTGAATCCAATTCCCAAATATTCAATTATTCATCTTTCATCAATTATTCATATTAGATCTTATTTATTATTATTCTTTTTTCATTTTATGATATTCTATTTAAATACTCTATTTAATAATCATCTCTTATATATTCTTTATTTTATATAATATATTTATTTTTTTGATCTTCATATATCTACATATCATTTTCATTCTCAATATCTAAAATACTTAAATTTATTTTATTTCTCTTAATAATGTATTACTACTCATAATTCATTTTATCAACTGATTTTATTCCATTCCCTTACTCTAATCTTTAATGAACCATATAATGTGTGCATGCTCTATTAGAATGATTAAGAAAATCAGCTATTGGAATTAAACAAGTATATCTCAAAGCCCATCCAAAACATCTACTCATTACACATTCAACTGCCCAGTAAAAATCTTTTTTATCTGTTACTCTAGGAATTCCAAATACATCTTGATTATTATCAAAGATTAATTTAGCTTTACCCCATAATCCTAACACATCTTATTTTATTGTGGTAAATTCCTCCAATATTATAGGATCTTCAATCTTGTTTAAATCATCATTTGACCAACCCAATAATGTATTATTAGTTTAAATAGCCTATATATATGAATAATAGAACGATGATTCTCCTTTCTTCTTCTCATTATACATATAAAAAGCTTAGATACACAATCAAACTTATACTTAATATATTAAAGTCTGCATTATTCGTTTCTTCCTCATCAAACATTTCTGGATGGCTATTATAAACTGAAACAAGATTGCTACGTTTACATTTATTAGGTGAAATTATTAATGATTATGGAATGCAAATAATTGCCTATTAAAATCATTAACAATACTTACAGTATTTGATGGTAAGTCTTCTAAGGCAATCATACCTGTAACATCTCCGAAAAATTCTTGAAATTTCACACCCTTCATTTTAACACCATTCTTAATACCCCAATCTTAAAGTAGTTTGTATTTCTAGTGTTATTTTATATCATCAGTCTAAGTTTAATCCAATTACATGAAATAATATATTAAAATATCTAAATAATCAATTTAATTTCAACATTTTAATCAAAAAAGGAAAAGAACATTTATATTTTTATTATACATAAGTTTTAAAATTCATATTAAAATAATTTACTTATCATATTTTTATATATTTTATGAATAAATAGATTTGGTTAATATTAGAAAATATATTTTAAATTTAGATTGAATATAAATAATCATTACTTTTATTAAAATTATTATTACTCTTGTTATGTTTTCTCTAAATCTACCTATAATTATTAATATTCTTTAAGATTACTAATGTTTAATTTGGTAATTTATCTCTAAAAAGAACCATTTCCTTAAAAAGAAAGGTAGTGATCTACTTCCAAATTTGGAATATTGTATTCCTTCTTAAATTTTATTAGTATTGGAATATTAAATACTCCCCAACCCAATCTTTTTAATTCAAATGGAGCTTATTTAACAGTAATTACATTTGGTCTAAAAGTCTCATGTAAATGGTAAGTTACCTAAATATCGTATTTTATAAAGTACTGATTCAATCATGTGATTAATATCAAAATTCTTAAGAGCAGCTCTATCTGAATCTTTATTATAATCCATTTTAACATTTAATATCCATTAATTAACATTTTTATTGTTTGACTTAATGTGTTCATAATAATTCCCATAAACAACACTTACTTTAATTTAATTTGGCAACATCATTTGTTATTGTAATATTTGTTATTATCTCTAAGCATAGAGTTGTGGATTACTATCCTTTATTTTTTTGGCCAAATCTTAATTAACAATCAAAGGTTGGTTCTTTAGATATTGTTATCTGCATAAGGGGCATTTGTATGATTGATTGTTGTAATCTAGTAAATCTATGAGGCAAGCTGAACAAAATATATGTTTGCATTCAGAAAGTTGAATGGGATCTACAATAATACTTAAACATATTGGGCAATCATAAGATTGTTACATATTTATAAAATTAATGTATTTAAGTTAATTTAAAAAATACAATACACATCATTCTGATGAATTATAATTTTAAAACTGCTTTACAAAAATTATAGAATATCAACTATATTTTCAAGATTATCATAATTATGGTCTCTTAAATATAAATTGGAAATATTTATGAATATAAAGGTTAATATTAATGAGTGAAATACTTATTTATTGCTTTATTAGGTTTTACTTCTAATAATAACTAGTATATAGTACTATTGAAATGATGAGTTTTATTAAGGACAATTGAAAAAAAATTAAACTAAAACTTTAAATACTATATTAATAATGATAATAAATATTGTCTATTCAATTATTTTAAAAAGAAAAATTAAGATAATTCAATATATGTAATTAAAAGTAATCTTGAATTTTAGAATGATTTACAATTATAAGGCTAATTATTCTTTTTTAATCAAGATAGAAATCCAAAAAAAAAAACTTAATAGACTCATAAATTAAAATATATCTGAGATAATGAAGCTTAATTTTTAGGAATTATTGGTGACTTAAGTTGTGATAAAGGTATCTGGAATGATTATATAAATACCAATGATTTTATTAGGGAGGTATTTAAGGAAAGAAAAATATGGAGTCAATTGAAATTAATATAAAGAAATTATATATTAGTAATTATAAGCATGGTTTTGATGATTAATATTTTAAAGGAATTAGTAAACAAGAAAATTTATGACACAAAATACAATCATTTAGTAAATAATTAGTAAGAATTTCTGTTATTAATTAACAATCCTATTTTATGAAAAAAATTTAAATGATCAAAATAATAGATGAAAAAAATAAATTAATCCCCAAATTGTAAAAATTCAATAAAAAAAAATAGTTTCAAGGATTATTTAAATTGAAGAAATTTTTATTTATAAATAATTTAATTTTTTAATTGCATATAAATTTTATTAATAATTAAACTTCAAAGGAATAAGAATTAAATCATAATTATAATAATAAGTTTATAATAATAATGATGTTCTATTAGGTAGAAATAAAATAGTCTTTTTAAATATTAAAAATGCAGATTTAAAAAAATATGAATGAAAATTATCATAAAGTCACTTTCTAAAGTTCAAATGATCCAGATAAATTTTAGTTATTTAATCCTAAACTTCCATAGACTTTCCATGATCCTTCAAATTTATTTTCTTATTATAAAAATGTTCCTTAATATTGCTATAGCAAATATAAATAATCAATTGAGTCTTTTTTCTAAAATAAATCAGAATCGAGAGAAGTTCTTAAATGAATTATTATTTCTTAATTAGATGATATAAGAATATTCCCTTCAGCAGTCCATGCTTCTTATTAGTTATCTTGAGTAATTTGTAATTCTAATTTATTATGATCAGCTTAAATTATTTTGAATTTCAGTATTTTAGTGCTGCATTTTTAATTATTAATTCTTTGGAGAATCCAGCAAGAGTTTTTAACAGAATCATAGATCTAATTAATTTTAACTTTATTGTTTTGAATTGAACACAGTTTTTCTTAGAGTAGTTTCTATTCTATATCTTTTTTAAGTTTTTTCCTTCTTTAAACCTCTAAAATTATCCCAAGTACAAAAATTAGCATAAGAATGCATATAATTAGAACTATAATAGGATAATTTAAGCTATCATGAGAATTTTATTCTGATGAGGTAATTTATACCTTTTTAATAAATTATTGATTATTGTCAGAGAAGGTAATATTTTGGAGGGTTGGAGAATGCAAAAATTTTTACTGTGGATTAATCTCAAGAGAAGAAATTATTTTTTACATTGATTAAATTATTCTCTCTCATTTAAGAATATGATAGTATATATAAACTTTCTAATTTTTTTTTTTTATTTGATTCCATATTTTTTTTAATAAAAATTAAAAAAATTACGAAAAATATAATTAAGGTTCAATATAATAAATATTTACTTTAGATTAATATATACTGATTTCTCATCTTAATTCCTTTTAAACTTCAGCTGAATTTTTAGGTATTTCATCAATTTTAATGTTATAATATTTTCCATTTTCTAACAAAAGATTAGTTTCTTCTTGAATATTAATTGCAACTCCTTTTCTATCATATATATCAGCTCTTCCAACTATTCTGAATATAAAATTTAATCAGCTTCATCAACAACAAGTAATTTCATAAAATTTGCATCTAAATATTTGTTTTTCATCAAATTAATTAATCTTTCTTGAATAATATATACACCTTATTTACATTTTTCTTTAGTTTCTTAAACTTATTGTCCAAAAATACACAACTTATTCAATATGTATATATTTTCCAATTCCTTTGACTATATCATATATTTATTAAGCCCATTCTCTAACTGGTGCTAATATTATGACTTATGTCTTTCTTTAATTTTGATCTATTCTTTATAAGGCACCAACAGTGAATGTACCTGTATTTCCAGTTCCTGTTAAAATAATATGATATTTAAGTTTATATCTGATTAGACTTATGCCAATACATCTTTACCAATAATGATTGATTTAATATCCTTTTATTAAATAATTGATGATCTTTCAAAACCATAAGAAAAGATGACTCTCAATAAATGTTTACTTAAGTTTAATTCTTCGAATATTTTAATTTGCGATATTAAATAATTATTTAACCTCATTCCAATTTTCTTGTAAATCTTATATTGCTAAATCCATAAATATTCTAATAAAAAATATTCTAATTTTATTACTTTTTAAAGATTCCTTTTTAATTAATAAAAAGTTTAAATGAGACACCATAATTATATGAATGAAAGTTTATTATTTTAAAAAATAACCATTAATAAAACAAATTATATATATTTCTCATTTTATAATTATAATAATAATCATCTCCTTCCACGGGCTATGGCTAAAATTTCCATGATTCTAATGAACAACTGTATAATGGTAGCATAAAGCAATAATGATCCAATGACATAATCATCAATAGATAACTTTAATTTCTTAAAGATATTTAATATAATATTACTCCTTTGCCCATAATTAATTAAGTCTCCCAAATCAAATAGAATCCATATACTACTATGAATAATGAACATAAACAAATGTAAATTGCACAATTTTGAGTAATACAAAACATTATGATCAATACCAAAATGGTAGGACTTAGAATAAAAATAGCACCAACTAAAAATATGGAATAATAGATACTTTTGAATGAAAAATCTGTTGTTGTCTTACATGCATACAAAGTTAATGCAAATACGATTAAAAATGTAATTCCCCATGCTTACCAAACAACTCCATATCCCCAATACACAGCCATCAATATGCAAAGAGTAGTAAGCATAAATCCAAAGAAAATGATATATAATAATAAAACTATGTAATTCATAGGAGCCTATATTCTATAAATATTAATAATACTCTTCTTGCTAAGTTTCCACCACAATATAACGCTAATTGCATGAACATTGCAATAACGAAAGAAACATAGAATAACCATGTAGGGTAAACATCAAAATAAGTAATATATCCACATTACATTTGGCCAAAACCATAATAAACGCAAACATTTAAAAAGTCAAAACCTGCATCAACAAGCCAATAAGCCATATTAGTGTATAATCCTAATGCTATCAATGCTAATGTAATTAAAAGTTCGATGGTCAAAAGAGTATACACTTTCTTAACAAAACCTGCTCTAATATAAGAGTCTGAAAAGTCAGCATGATCTATGTAATATAAAACATTAATATACATCCATAATTATTTTCTTTTTAAATTTTGTCATCCTATGTGTCAAATGCTTAAGGATTGTAGTATTGTTATTGTTATTATTATTAGTATGATTATTAGTATTATTATTGTTAAGTATTCTAATTGTACTAGTAATAATCTTGGTTAGAATTATTGTACATTTTTTTATTGAAGATAATTAAAATATTAATTTTCTTCGTTGTTTATTAAAGGTTATAAATCATAAAATTTTATGTATTACAAAAAATTTATTCTATATTGTCATTCTAGATTAATCGATTTTCATCTTCTACTTGTCTTTTTTAACATTTAATAAAATATTATTTATTACTTTTGACTAAATCTTTAATTCGTAAAATCCTATATAATATTATCATTAAACTTTAACTTTTTAAATTTTCTCACTTCCATAATTCAATTATTTCTTTTGTCATTTTTTTGTATTATAATCAAATAATATGATGATATTATTTAACTATAATATGATTATAATAGAAAAAGATATTCAATTATATATGAGTTAATAATCTATTAAAACACTTTACTATTATGTAAGTTCTTTTTATCTTATTCTTTATTATTATCATTTTAATATCTAAGTATCAAGATAAAAGCTATTCTAGTATGAAAAATAAGTTTATAATATATTTTATGATAACAAAATTATGATTAATTAATATAACAGCATTAAAACAGTCTAAAATCAAAGAATAAAAAAAAAAGATGATATCAATAGTTGAAGAAAGAAAGGGTAAGTCACTTCATAATTTTTAGAAGAATAATAAAATTAAGAGTTTGAATTTGAGGAATATCCATTTAGAATTTGGGAATAAGGTATTATTGAAATAATTATTTAGTTGCTGATCAATATAGATAAGAGATAGTAGTAATTATTATCTATAATTAACAATTAGACTCTTTAACATTAGATATGGTAATCCAATATTGATAAGTTTTATCAAAAGGGAATACCGAAGAAATTGTAATAAAAATTAAAGAAGATGAAGATGGGAAAATCTAATAGATAGTGCAGTATTTGCTGCAATAATTTTTAAAAAGGTAACCACTATTATATAATAGATGAAACAATTATCCAACTACCTTGTAAACATATATATCATTAGTCTTGCTTATTTTCTTGGCTTGATCATAGTACGAAATGTCCTAACTGTCGAAGTGATGTATTAGAAGCTTTAAAGGATTAAGAGAAATGATTTGCATTTCTATGGACAAGATTATATTAAAAAATATTTTGTCAAAAAATACAAATGATAATTTGGATAAACATTCAAAATAATCCTACATCTTAGAACTTTTATTAAAAACACCTCATTCTATCAAAACTTTTTTTATAGATTTTAATTTATAATTCAAAAAAAAAGCCAGTCTTTTTGTAATTAATTCTAAAATTAGATTGTTCTAATATATTTATATTATTAATATTGATTAATTCCTTTATTATGGTAATGAATATAAATATATCTCTTATGTTAAATAATTGAGTTTCATTAATAATTAATCATAAATAGTTTTTTTATCTAAATTCTTTTTATTATCATTTAAAGTGATGAAATATAATAATAAGATTTATTTAAAATTTTATGATAAAAATAAAGTTTGTTTGTAAATAGTTTAAAAACAATATATTAAATAATTCATATGTGATGTAGATATATTTTATAAAATTATTCTATTCAATTATATTTTCTAAAAAGTAAATAAAAAGTAAAAATTAATTGTTGGATAGCAAAGAGAAATAAAAATTAATTTATTAATAATATCTGTTATGATGAATAATAATAATCGGAAACCCTAATCATCAAAGGATGTGAGATCAAAGGTGAACTCTGGAGTGAATCGTAAGAATGATATTGCTTAATAAAAAAGAATACAATCTGCAATTTAATCAGTATTTATAAATATAATAAAAGGGTGATAAATCAGTGGACTAAGGTGGGAATCTAATTGATCATCTTAATAATATAGTATAGGATTATTTATTAAGATCGAATTGCATAAAAACATTAGAGTAATTTAATATAGAGTCTTAATTTGCAACTGAATAAAGTAATGAAACTGAACATATTATTTTGGGGCATTTTGATAGAGGAGAAAGAGATAAGTTTTTTGAATCTTGGAGTCGATACATTCCAATATCTTAACGATAAGATCATGATTCTTGGAAATTAGAATTTTATATTCAGATATATTTCTTTATCTATCCTATTCATCCAGTATTTAAGAAGAAAGGTTAGATAGATAAATATTCAATCAATTAATTTAAAAACTATCTTGATACTAAAGGAGCTGATCTATCAAAAACAAATGATGTTTTACCTTTTTATGCATTACCTTATGTGAAAAATCCAGAAAAACACTAATCTTTTTAACATTTATTCACACATGAATGGATATCAGATTTGAGAATGAAACTTAAGGAATATATTTAATCTATTTATGGATCAGATTAATAAGGTAGTATTTTGAAAAGATTGGTTTTATAAAAAGAAGTTTCTGTAAATTATTAACAAAATGATAATCAAAATCGAATATTAGAAATAAAATAATTATAATAAGAAAATCTAGAACTCAAAAAAAAGAGTAATCAATAGATTTAAGCATTACAAGAATTAAATCATTTAGCATAATAAAATTTGACAGAAGCTTAAAAAAAATGGTTTTCTTTAACAGGTGAAATGTTAAAAATGTAAAAAGAGATGTTGAAATATATAGAAAATAACAAGAAAATACCAGAATAGATATAATAATTTAAAAAAAAGATTGCATCTTATGATAAGTTCTTTGGATAAAATTTGGAAGATTTAGTAAATAAATCAGAAGATATTTCATTGTTTAACAATATAACTTAACCAGATCATGATTTATCAGAAATTACAAATTAGCAATGTATAAATAGTGATTATAATAATATTTATAGAGATGAATCCAGTTTAATAATCAATTGAGGAGTATATTCCTTTAAATTATGAGAAAATTATATAATTGTTTACAAAATCTTAAAATGCAGTATTGATTGCAACTGTTCTATAAGCATTAAGATGGAGAATTACAAGAGCAAGAAGTGCTTTAGAGAGAAGATCAGTAGTTGTTGCTTATTAAACTCATGATTTGATAGGAACACATTAAAGAAATATTATATTAGCTTAACATTTAATGTTTAAAGCTGCTCCTATAATTTAATGTTAAACATTAAAATTAATGAATGCTTTGGCTTCAGATTATGATGGTAGAACTTATTTGACTACAAATTCTTAATTAATAAAACTATTAATTGAATTGATTAAAAAAGATTAAACTGATTCAATAAAAAGAAAGAATGCAATTGGAACATTATAAAAATTATCATTACGTAGATAAAGTTAAATATGGATGTTAGATAATGATATAATATACGTGGCTTTAATAATATTATAAAGAGTATAAAAAATAAATATTTTAAATAGGAGAAATTTAATTTAAGTGAATATACATATGAATATATAACAGCTTTAATAATGAATTTATCATTAAGTTCTAGAGGTCGTGATGCTTTATCAATGAATAAAGAATTAGCATTTGAAGTGTTATTTGAATTAATAGAATATCCAAATGATTAGATTAGAACATTTACAAATGGAACATTTTATTCAATGTTTAGTAGAAGAGAATTGAGAGATTATGCATATTAATTAAACATACCTTAAGAATTACCAAAGTTATTATCGATTAGTGAGGAAAAGTTCAAGAAATAAATTTAATACATGATAGAATAATTAGAGAGTAATGAAGATGATTATGATTAATCATAATTAGAAGAAGATAATGATGTAGATGATTTAGAAGATGATGAAGAATGTCCAGTAGATGATGAAGATGAAGATGATTTAGATAATAATGATATGGTTGTAGGAGAAGAATTATTAAAAAATGAATTTGCATTAAATAATGAATAAGCAGAATAACAAAGATAATTAATGGAATCTATTATGTAAAAAGAATAGTAATAGAGAAGTGTATTCTAAGAATAATTAAGAGATTCTTAAATTGAAAAAATGCCAATTGGATGTAAAAAATATTAAATTATTTTTTTTAGAAGGTCCATTTATTGCTGATAGTCTAGCACCTATTAATAATATTAATTAAAAATAGGTTTAACCATAAGCTTAAGCTTTTGTATCAAGACCAAAAATACCTAGAACACCACCAATTTAATAATATAATTATTAACATTGATTTATATTAATAAATAATATACTCAATTTTGTTGATTATTGTTATGTTTACAGAATTTAGTGAAGAATTGATAAACTGTCCAGCAGGTTGTGGAAGAAAGTTTAATAAAGATAGCTTGATAATTCATTATAAAATTTGTAAAGATGTATTCTAATAAAAACGCTATATTTTTAATTCCTAATTAAAAAGGGTAGGATATGATTATTTTATTGGAAACTAAAAAAAATTACCTTAAATTACATCACCAAGATCAATTAAAATTAAAACTGAAACTTCTTAAATAAAAACACCTTAAATTACATCAAAATATATGCAAAATATTTCTACTAAAAAATTTTGCAAAGGTTGTTTAAGAGATTTTGATTTAAAGATAGCTGATGATCATATATAAAAATGTTTATAAAAAATGCCTAGAATTATTGCATTTTGTAAAAAGATTTGATTAAGTTTAATTCTAATTTTTATATTATTAGACTTTCCATATATATTAAACACAAAATTCTATTGATTTATTCATTATGTAAAATTAATCATGATTAATCAACAAACTGTTTTTAAAGGTTTCGAAGTATTGGCATACCAATCTGGTATTAATGTAATCATTTATTGTTAATTCATTTTAGATGTTTCTTCTAATTTATTAATAAAAAATAAATACCTATGGAAAATTCAAAGAGATCAGATGCATTAAGTTTTATAATATTTTAGATGGCTTTAAATTAAATTTAATCTCTTAATTCATCGAAATAAGAATGAGCCAAAGCTTAAAGAGGATTGAATCTAGTTTTTGGACAATAAGTCAATAATTTAGAAATTAAATCTATAGCTTTAGAATCTTTAGTTTTCAATACCTATAAAATATAAGATTAATATTATACTCTTCTCCAATCTCTTTATTTAATAGAAGCAAATTAATATTATTACATATCATAATTTCTATTCATACTTAAGATTTATTCTTTAGAAGGTGTACCAAGTACTTTTATAATTTCAACCATTTAATCAACAGCAGAATCTCCTAAAAATAAAGGTTCACCATTAATTAATTCAGCAATAACACAACCAACAGACCAAACATCTATTTAAGTATTATAATCAGTTGCTCCAAATATAAGTTCTGGTGCTCTATAACATCTTGAACATATATATGCTATATTTGGTTCTCCTAAAATTAACCTTTTAGCACTTCCAAAATCACATAACTATAATTTATTGGTTTCTGGATTAACTAAAACATTATGTGGTTTTATATCTCTATGACATATACCCAAAATTGATATATAACTATATATTATTAAGATTAAATACGCTATGGATCTAAGTAATTGATAACTAAAAATCTTAACTAAAATTTCAGGCATCTTCTTAAAATCTTTTATAAATGATTTATTATAAGAATAAAGAGTGTCTGAAAAGTACTCCATAACTACATTTAAATAATTTTCATCTTTATTTTCTGCTGGTGTATAAAATGCATATTTCATTTTCAATACATTTTAATGATCTAATTCTTGCAATATTTATAATTCTCTATTTTTATATCTCCTATCTTACAATACTTTTTTAATGGCAACTATTTCACCAGTTTCATTAACTTTGGCCTACGATTAACTATATTATTTACTTTATAAACTACTCCAAACGATCCGCTACCAACAACTTTTAGATTTGTATAAGTTAAATTACTATAATCATATCTTTCAGTTGTTGCTGGTATTAACACTGATTTAGTACTATTCTTTTCTATTGAAAGAGGTTTACGAGCTTATTTCTTAATTGTTTATTATTAAAATGATTTTAGTTGATTCTCAAACTTTCCTATATAAATAGATGTTGTAGGTTCTTCTTTGTTTTTTTTAAATGACTATTTTGTCATTTGATTCATTTTTAAACGAGCTTTCAAGTTTGAAATATCTTATAATGATTTTATCTCCTTATCCATTTCTTCAACTTCTGTAACTACTCTTCTATTTTATTCTTCTGACTATCATTTATATACATTTAGCTACTTATTTCTTCATTTATTAATTCAGCATCTTCTGAAACATTATTTTTAACGTAATTTTTAATTATATATAAATAATTCAAACAGTCATCTCTATTTTTATTTAGCTTGTATATATTACAAATATTCCTAATTAAATTAATCATTCAATAATACCTCTTTGCTCATTTTTATTGTAAAAACTAATTCATCTTATTATGTTTTAGTCTTTACTTAAGAACTCTTCCCCTATTATGGTTATTTACTTGCTTTTTTATTATTTTATGAAATTGGAGTAGCTTATTTCTATTTATTTGTGCTATTATAATTGCTTGAAGCTATCAATTTATTAGGTGGGGATTAAGGTCTTTTAGGTTATACTTAAACAAATTCTGTTACTTTTTGAACATTCTATTAATTATCCTTAATAGGTGGAGGAGTTGTATTCTTAATAGGAGATGATCTATCTATTGAATGTTTATATGTACTATTGATTATAGTTTTAGGTTTCTTCATATATTAATCTATTAACATCAATATGAGGACTTATTAATTTTCGTAATCTCAATTTCATTTTCTCAAAATAACCTATCCTATAATCTGCATAGTTTCTATCATAAAATTTATCAAAATCATCCATTCTTCCTCTTATCTATAATAATTATATTGTTTTTAACTCTAGCTTATAACACTATAAGATCTTGATATGCTTGTTTATTGCCTTTTCTGACTTCATCACATAAATCTACATCTTTAATTTTATATTATACGAATATAGTTTATACAAATCTATTCTACTTCTTATGCAATACTAGGCAATAAATCTAATCGCAATACTAACCATTATTCTTAACTCATCATAATTTTAATAATTAAATTTTATAATCAATTCCATTTGATTTTTTCTACAAAATATTTCTCGATAATTATTTTCCCTTCTTTATACTTTTCAGATTCCCTATATGCTTTTATCTTAATTTTACAAAATTTAACTTACATATTTCCAACCTATTATTTCATCGCAACCATTACATATTAAGTCTTGAACTATATATTTACCAGTTAATAAGTCTTTGTCTTAAAGCAACCCAACATGATAATTTATACTTATTTTATACTAAACCATACCCTTAATCAAATAAATAAGCTTATCCAGTTCCTCCTTTAAAATTCTCAATTTTAAAACTGAAATAATACTTTAGATATTCTTTTTTAATAATTTGTTAGGTGTACACGACATTTCTTACATACATAGATCCGATTCCCATCCAAATATTCTAAAATTGGCCTACCCATGTTATATTTTATATTTAAGAAGAAAGATTATATTATAAAATTTTTGTATTCCCATTAATTTATTACCTTTTATTATTTTACAAATAT